CTATATTATAAAATTTTATTTTCTCCCTTAGTGAAATGTTGGGCGTCGTACTAACCTGAGCCAATTTACGTGACGCCAAGATATACCAGTTAAAAAAATATAAATAAATCTTAATTATTTATAGTATAAAAATAAAAAATTAAAATTTTATATAAATAATGAATGTAAAAATTGTTTTACAAAGTAAATTCTAATTCTATGTTATAAAATTTTATTTTCTCCCTTTGTGAAATGTTGGGCGTCGTACTAACCTGAGCCAATTTACGTGACGCCAAGATACACCAGTTAAAAGTGAATTAATTTTTTTTTGCACAGCGTTAAAAGTGAATTAATTGATGACAATCAATTATGAAAAATGAACACGCATCAGCCAATATTTAAGTTTTGAGCGAAAAATTATTTTTTTTTAATTTATTAAATTGATGTGAAAATGTTTTTTAAAAATTATTTTAAAAGTAATTAATTTTAAAATATATAAAAATTAATTTAAAAATCCTCCACACATATACATAAGAAAAAAAGATACATTCAGGGACGGAGCTAAGAACAAAGGGAGAGCCGGCCCCAAGCTTTTGAAAATATTTAATATGATATATTAATTTTTATTTAGTTCAAAAATTGTTTTTAATGTTTGAATTATAAGGACCATTTTAAATCTTTAAAAAAAAAATACTATAAACCAAGGTAAACAGACCATTTCCTTCTTTGTAACCAATTCTTAAGACATAATTTCACTTGGACAATAAAAAATATTTAAAAATAATAAAGATCAAGTTAATATTAGTATAACTTATATAAAATTTTATTCTACTTGTAATTCTTTGTACAATTTATTTTACCAAACTAAGACTTGAATTTGATATTCTATTTAGGTATATCATAAATTTTAAATTTTAAATTCATTTAATATATGTAACCATATTAAAAGAGAAGCTATATTTTATATGGAATCATTGTTTATTTGTTAGTCTAAAAAAAAAGAAAAGAAAAATACCTCTATAGTACAATGTTTTAATAAATTAAACACCATGAAAAGATAAAAAAAAATACTCTTAGTTTTGTCCTAAAAAATGCTATTTTAATTTTTAATTAAAATTTATTAAAATAACATAATTTTAAAAATAATTTTTATAGAGTTTATTACAATTTTAACTTATTAACAATTTATTATTATTTTTTAAGATTTTAAATTATCAATTATTAAAAAATAATTAAATATATCTAATTAATTTAAAATTTAATGTGTATGATATAAGTGATAGATTTACATATAAAAATTAATTAATATAAAAATTAATTTTTAATTTTCTACTTAAAAACTAAAAATCAAATCTTAAATAATTATTAAATGTCATGATTAATAATTAAAAATTAATATAAATTACATTAATACAAACTTATCTTAACTTAAAAAAATAATAATAATAG